ACGATGAAAAAGACTAGAACTACTACTACTACGACGACGACTACGACTACGAGTACTACTACTACTACTACTACTACTACTACTACTACTACTACAACTACTACTACTACTACTACTACTACTACTACTACTACTACTACTACTACTACTACTACTACTACTACTACTACTACTACTACTACTACTACTACTACTACTACTACTACTACTACTACTACTACTACTACTAACTACTACTACTACTACTACTACTACTACTACTACTACTACTACTACTACTACTACTACTACTACTACTACTACTACTACTACTACTACTACTACTACTACTACTACTACTACTACTACTACTACTACTACTACTACTACTACTACTACTACTACTACTACTACTACTACTACTACTACTACTACTACTACTACTACTACTACTACTACTACTACTACTACTACTACTACTACTACTACTACTACTACTACTACTACTACTACTACTACTACTACTACTACTACTACTACTACTACTACTACTACTACTACTACTACTTCTACTACTACTACTACTACTACTACTACTACTACTACTACTACTACTACTACTACTGCTACTGCTACTACTGCTGCTACTACTACTACTACTATTAATGCGACTACTCCTGCTACTACTGGTATACGACTACCACTACAGCTACTACTACGACTACGAATAATACGAATAATTACACCACTACTGGTATGATTAGTTCTACTACTACTACTACTACGACGACTACTACTACTACTACTACTACTACTACTACTACCACAACCCCGACCACTACTACTAATACTACTACTTCTACCACTAATACGACTACTACTACTACTACTACTACTACTACCACTACTACTACTACTACTACTACTACTACTACTACCGCAACCCCCACCACTACTACGAATACTACTACTTCTACTACTACTACGACTACTACTACTACTACTACTACTACTACTACTACTACTACTACTACTACTACTACTACTACTACTACTACTACTACTACTACTACTACTACTACTACTACTACTACTACTACTACACATTGTACTACTACTGCGAGTACTACTACGAAGCCTACTACGACTACTACCACTACTACTACTACTGCTACTGCTACTACTACTACTACTACTACTACTACTACTACTCCTACTCCTACTACTACTACTACTACTACTACTACTACTACTACTACTACTACTACTACTACGACTACCACTACTACTACTACTACTACTACTACTACTACTACTACTACTACTACTACTACTACTCTACTGCTGTGGGTACGGCTGCGTCCCGATCGAAGACCCGAACATCTACTAAATATACTGTTGTTGTTTCAACTACTACCTCTACTGCTCGGCGGACGACAAGCAGGACGATATACGATACGACAGGGAACGACCAGACCAGGATGACCGGGAAGCCAAACAATAAGAAATGCATACTCAACATTTCAAGGCAGCGCAAAATCGAATTTCCAGGCGCAGATAGGTGCAATGGGCCAGTTCTCTACGCAACGAGCTAGATCCCGTAAGGGATCTTAGGAGCGAAGAGTCGATATGCTTCCGTTACATGGGACAATGACTTCTCCACCACCCTGTCACATCCAGAGCCCCCGCGTGACGGTACTGGGGCCTGACAACCAAAACTGCAGACAAATCTCAGACCCCGTAGTTTCGAGTCCCTGGAGTTATGGGAACCTGACACCCGACGGTGTTTGTGTTTACTGCATGGCTCCCAATAGGTCTGGATCCCTTCCCGGGGACCGTCTTTTCAAGCCGACTCGTTGTTTGACGGCCCCGGGACCTGGTGAAGGCCCCCCGAGGAACATCGAGCCCTTTCACAAACCAACGTGCATCTATTCACTCCCTGGAACTCTCCTGGATCGCGCTCTGACCATGAAATTTGAAGCGAACCCAGCTGTGACGACGAGAGGCGGGAAGCGGTATCGGTGTACCTTCCGAGAGCGGGGATGAGAGGACGAGGGGCTCCCAACGCCCGAAGTCTTGTTGCTCACAACAACGACTGCCTTCCAACCAAAAGGCTTATCATCCCAAGTCGTGCGTTGACGGTCCTGGGGCGCAGCAAAGCCAGTGGATGCCGAAAACAAGCAAGAACTTAGCGCTGGATGTTTTGTACGACGAGGAAAAAGTCTGGGGGCGGGGAGGGGGATTGGGATCTCTGGACCTCTCCTGGAGGGGGCTGCGACGAGGATCTCAGAGAGGAAACACACCCTCAAGGAGCCAAAGCGCCCACAACCCCGAACCTGGGTGTCCAAGGTCGTGATGCTGTCGCAGCGTCGCTCCCCAGAGGTCTGGCCTCCTTCCCAGGGCCTGGCTCTTCATCGTGATTTGCTGTTTGACGGCCCTGGGGCCCAGCGAGGGCCCCCAGAAGTCGAAAACGGCCAAAAGCCACCCGCCGCGAGTGCTCCAGGCAGGGCGGGAATGCATCCATAACTATTGTCCGGATGCTCCTCCCCGGGGAAGACGGCGGGCGGCGGATGTGGATGCGCCTGGCCACTCCACGGCCCGAACATATACACAGATCCATCACCTGCCGAGGCCACCGAAGATCGATCCCCCAGGCGGTGGGTATGGATAAACCCCCGCCTCGGACTTCACAGCGCGAGGATGCCTGGGCCTCGGTGGGGGCAACGAGAAGACACTGATATATCACGACGGTGGGGGCACTGAACAAGGAACCCATGGATAAGGAACCCAGACTCTGGTATCCGATTGGACTCCAGTCGTGGACTGGCCATCGGTAACACCGCCGCCCTCAGCAGGTAAGCAATGTTATCCAGGGTCCGAGATCTCCTGGGTACACTCCTTGACCAACGCCCATACGTCCACGCCGTACTCCGCGGAACTCTCCCAGGGTGCGCTCTGGCCCGGAGTTCGAGGCGGATCCAGCTGCGGCGACGAGGGCCTCCCAGGAGGCCCACAAAGAAGGCGAAAACGAGCGATATCGGAAATTGCCGTTCCTGCCTCTGGTGGGAGGTAGGAGGGAGGAGGGCCTCGGAGGGAGGAGGGAGGAGAAGGGGAAGCTCGTGAGCAAAGAGCATGTCCCAAACCGCGGCCTCGTGGGCGGGGGCCCTGCGCCGCGACCCCCCTTCCACACGGGGCCTCTTCTCCGCGGCTGCCCCGCGCGGCACCGCAACCGTGCGACCGCCCATCCGCGGGATCGCGCCCCAGAGTCCAGATCGCGAGGGCGCGGATGCGGATAGGCTCGCCGCTCGCGGAGAAGTTCCCGAGCAGAGCCCCCCCCCCCCGGTGGATCGCTCAACCTCGAACGATCGCGGCTCTCCGATAGCGCAGATGGCTCGGCATCGGCCGACTCTGGGCCACTGGCGGCGTTTGACCCGGACACCCGCGCTGGGGTCGCCGCCGCCGCGTCAACGCGGCGCAAACCTACACCACGCGAAATGCTTAAGAAATCATGGGTTAAGAAATTCATAGTCTCAGACTTTGAATAACAACCCAACGTTTCCATTAAAATCTGAAGATTTACATGGAAACGTTAAGAATAATCGAGACTCTGGCCGAAAACTTAGGTTTTCTTAAGCATCGCCTAAGGTGTACCGCACCTTTCTGTTCCTCCTCTGATTGGATGGGAGACTGGAGACTGGAGACTGCGCCTGCGTCGCCCCAGGGTGACGGCCCTCCGCGGGGCTCTAGTCGGTGGCGCCAGGGCACCGGCGGCGTAACTCGAAGGTCGCACATCATACTCGGGCCAGCTCAGTCCACACCCTGTGGATGTGTCGGCGTTGCTTGTCTTGCTGGTCACCTCTGCTGGGAAGGGAGGAGGGAGACAGTCCCCGAGCCGAGCACCCCCCCCTGGGGCCGGTCGAGGCCTCGGCCGGCTCCTCGCTGACAGGCGTCAGCGGCGGGGCTCCTGCAAGGGGGGCGGGGCCGCGGCTCGCGAGGGGCCCGCGGGCGGCCGAGGAGCGCGAAGAGGTGGACCCCGAAGTCCCGACGGAGCCCGCTGGAATACGTTCGGAAGCTTCGTGCGCCGCGTGTGGCGGCGACGGCGGCCCCAGCGACGCGCTGCGCCCTGCGAGCGGGCAGCGTGTCGCTCCGCTCCGCGGGGCGGGAGGCTCGGAAGGGCTGCAGCCGTTGACGCTGGGGGGCCGGGGAGTAGATAGCGTGGTACACCGAAGCGTGGTGTGCCAGTAGAGGCCTCCTAGATGGGGTCCGAGTAGATGGGGTCGGAGGATGGCGCCGCATCGACGATACATCGACGATGCATCGGCGATGCATCGGCGATGCATCGGCGATGCACCAGCGATGCATCGTCGACGTCAGCGATGAATCGGCGACGTCGACGTGAAGCAAATCGGGCTCCACATCCAGCCGCATCGGCGATGCATCGGCGATGCGGCGCAATCCTCCGACCCCATCTACTCCGACCCCATCTAGGAGGCCTAGAGCCAGGAACGGTGGAGCGACACGCTAAGCCAAGGATCCTGGACAGGCCAGGACAGGCAGATCGACAGACGGTGGAATCGAACGGTGAGGGCATTGGGCAAAAAGGAACCATCAGATCAGGTATCTGCTGTCTGGAAGCTGGTGGAACTCCGATCGTGGAGTGGCCATGGATACCTCCTCGTCGGGCAAGGAATCCTCCAGGGTCTGAAGCCTCCGAGGCCCATTCCTTCACAAACGCCCCCACCGCAGCGCCTTGGCGGTCAGTGCGATAGTCGCTGCTGCCGTCTGCCTGCGCGGCTGCTTTGCTCTGATGCGGCGCTGTCGCTCGCACGTGGCGGATCCGGCGAGGGCGAGGTGCGCGATGGCGCAACAGCACCTGGACCGTGGCGCGGAGCGGCCGCAGAGGCGGGGGCATGCGGGGGTGGCTATGCGAACAGGACGGGCCGTCGGCCTGCGCAATCACAGCACGGAGCCCAAAAAAGGCCGCACGCGCCCGACCGCGCACACAGACAGGGCCCCCAGTCCGCGAGACCAGCCTCGTAGTACGAACGTTCGTGCCCTGCGTACTTCCGAAACGAGCGCGGATGAATGTACGCGTGCATCCTTCTTTCGCTGCTGATGCAAACGATCACCGTTTCGTAGACCGTGTCGTGGTTGGCCAGTCTTGCGGGCCGTCCGCGCAGAGCTCCGGCCGCGCTGACCACCAGATGGGACTACAAGTGGTTCGGCGAAACAGCAGGGTCCATAGTTTGATGCTTTGCACACCGACCCCACCCATCAAGGCTCCAGCCACCACTCGAAAAACGTTCGGGCCTCAAGGCTCTGGGGACGCTCGAGGGAGCCAGGCCTCCAGAGGCTCGAACACGCTGGGCCTGGTTCTTGCATGCAGTTCCGGCCTCCCGAGGCCGCCTTCGGGCCCGGGGCCTTCAGGAAGCGACACGGGATGAGAAGCCGGCCCCAAGGACAGGGTCGAGAGAGGTCCGGAGCTCCGAGGTTCGAAAACAGATCGGGCTATCGCAGGTCTGGGAAGTGGGCTTTCGAACGCAGTCGGACCCTTTGTTCGTGGTTCCTGGGGGCGCGGGCATCATGACTCGGCAGGAGGCGTCGGAACGCAAATGTCGCCCAGCGCCCAGAGCCAGACTAATAGAGGTCTTGAAGCAGACTGCAAGCAAAATTCGCCGGCCCAACGGGCCAAATGCGTGCTAAAGATCTCCGGTAACTGGTCAATTGTATTTTTAGTTCGAGCGCGCGGGGCCGCCCCTGGGGGTCCCCGGTCGAAGAAGACCCCAGCAAGTTCCCGGGCAAGTCCCGGCAAGGTCCTGGGCAGGTTCAAGGCAGGTCCCGGCGAGGTCCCGGGCAGGTCCAGGCGAGATCCCAGCCCAGGCTCCCAAGAGCGCTCCAGGAGCGCTTCAAGTTGCCTCCGAGAGAGCTCAACATGGTCCGAGACGGCCCAAGAGCGATCCAAGAAGCCAAAGATGGCCTCCAGACAACCCAAGGCGCCTTCAAAACGCCCTAAGAGACCTCCAAGATACCTCCCAAGAGGGCCCACAGAGGCAGAAACTAGTGTTGAGCCTTCAGTTTTTGAAGATTGTTGGCGTTCTCGCCTGTTCGGCTTACCAGCGCTCCATGACGGCACAAGAAGCTTCCAGGATCACCCCAACACAGCCCAAGAGGCCTCCCAGCGCACCCAAAACGGCCTCGGAGGGCCCCACGACAGCCCCAGAGGCATCCAAGATGGCCGAAGAGGCTCCCAAGACGGCTCCAAGAGCGGGCCCAGACGAGGGACCCGAACGGACATTTCGAGCGCTAGGCGCAGAGAGGTCCCCTGGAGGCCCCAAGAGGCCCCCAAGAAGCCCCCAAAGACCCCGAAAGAGGCCCCCAAGAGGCCCCCTATGACGCCCGAGGAGGTCCCAGGAATACCGCCAAGAGACCCAAAAAGAGGCTCCATCGGCACGGGCAAATGTTTCGAAGGCAGCGAGGGAAACTGAAATCAGGAGCGGAGCCCCTCGGTGGCGCCCAGGGGGCCTGGGTGCACGAAAAGGGCCAGGGGAGCAACCACGGAAGGATTCGAGGAACGGCGAGCCCCTTCCGAGCCCAAAGGGGTCCTAACTTCAGAGTCCCTGCTGCAGGTCGCACCGGCGATCGACATGGCTCGCAGCGGGGGCAATCGGCAGCCGACTCGGGAAAAGTAAGTCGGCTCGGCGGACATCGGCAGGCCAGGGAGGCCTCCTCTGAGAAACCGCAATCGAGATCGGAGTCCGACGTCGCACTAGATGGGAATCGGAGTCGATCGAGATCGAATCGAGCCGGAGTCGACATGAGTGAAGGTGTCCTGGGACACACAAATAAATACACACACAAATGACAAGACCCCCCATATTTTCCCATATTTCCTGCGTTTTGGCCTCCCCCCCACTCCCCGTATTTTCCCATATTGTCTGGGGAATCGACGATTAATTGTGTTTGTGTGTTTTTTCCCTTCCTGAATGAGCCCTGGATCCCCTCCAGTCGCCGCAACCAGCAGGCCGACCGGCGGCACGCCACGAGCACGAGGCGGCCGAGGGGGGGGGGGCCAGGGCAGGCCTAGCGTGAGCGGGCGCTGAGCGGCATATATCGCACAACAACAATCCGCGGTCGGCCGCGCCTGTCCCAGGGCGGCTGGGGAGAGGATACCCTCACGGTGGCAGGCGGGGGTATATACGGTCGGGAAGCTCAACGCAGCGTGTCGCCACAGCGGCCCCGGCGACACGCTGTGCCGTGCGCCGTGCGAGAGGGTCGGCGCGTCGCGCCGCTCCGCGGGACGGGAGGCCCGGAACAGCTCGGGACTTCGACGCCTCGGGACCAGGAAGTGGACATCGCACCGAAGCGTGGGGGGCCAGAGCTGGCGGAGCGACATGCTATCCAAAGGTTCCCGACCTTGAGCTGCCCAGCCGCCCTCCCTCCTCCCTCCTCCCTCCTCCCTCCTCCCTCCTCCCCTCCCTCCTCCCTCCTCCTCCTCCTCCTCCTCCTCCTCCTCCTCCTCCTCCTCTCTCCTCCTCCTCCTCCTCCTCCTCCTCCTCCTCCTCCTCCTCCTCCTCCTCTAGGACAGCAGGCGCCCCCGACCGTGAGCAGGACGATAAAGCTTCGGAGGCCACGCCCGGGCGGCCCGACCCTCGCCCTCTGCCGCCTGGGCGACCAAAAAAGGACCCGGCCTCACGCGAGACGGCAGAGCGACCCGAGACCGCGGCTCGCGCGGGCCGCCAGCACGGCAGGCTGCGTTGGAAACTGACTACCTACCAGACCACCCCAACCCAACCCGAAGACCCGAATTTCGGGTTGGGGGGGTATGGGTTCCATACGTGTTTTTTCGATGGTCCCCGACCCCCCCCCCACTGGAAATGGATGGCAAATCGGGGCCTTCGGGTTGGGTTGGGGTGGGTTGGTGGGTGGTGAGAAACGGGGGTGCTCAAGCGCGACTGCGCGCGGGCATCTCACGCGCGAGAGCCCGCGCAGTCAGACCTGCTCTTGTGTGCCGCTCACCTCCTGGAGAGAGAGGGTCGGAGCGGATCGGGTGTCCACGACGGGAGCTGGGCGTCGCTTAATGGGGGAGGGGCGATCCGTGGGGGAAGAACGGTGCACTTCTCGGGCCCTGAAGGCCCCCCCTTGTTTTTGTTTCACGCCCGAGGGCAAATCCGCTTGCCCTCATGGGGGCTATACCCGTCCACAACAAAGAACGTCACCGCATTCTCGGCGATCGGACGCTTAACTAAAAGTGAAACGACCTCATGAGAACAGCCTAGGGTAGACAATTCGTTCAGGATGGCCCTATCATGTATATACCGCTGGAGCAAAACTGGGGTCGGCCCCACTTCCGGTTTCGGTGAGAGCGAAATCGCATCCAGCCCCTTCTGCCACTGCTTCTACAGCCAACAGAAACCAAGCATAGAGGATGAAACAACGACAAGGCAAGAAAGAGAGGAGAGGAGAGGAGAGAGGAGAGGAGAGGAGAGGAGAGGAGAGGAGAGGAGAGGAGAGGAGAGAAGAACAGAGGGGGAATGGGACAAACGGCCCTTAACTCTGGCTTCAAATGTGGACTCGAGCAGAGCACAGTAGCCAGAGGCTCAGGCCGGGAACTGCACCGCGCACGAACCGACCGGCAAGAGGCAAGCCCACGCAGTAAACAGCAGAACGAACTGAGCCTATCTGCCAGAAAACCGCTGGCCCAGGAAAAGCTCCGGGAGAGACAAATCTCAAACAAAAAAATCTCGGAGACTGAACATCACGCGTGTTGCACGGCTACCGGCTACCATAACACATCATCAACAAAAAGCGGTACGGTGAAGGCATTGGATAAGGAACCGTTGGAGAAGGAATCCAGGGTCTGGAAGCCAGTGGAGCTCCAACCGTGGGTTGGCTGTGGATATCACCGCCACCCTCATCAGAGAAGACATTCTCCAGGGTCTGACGCCTCTTGGGCACATTCCTTGACCAACGCCCCCCCAAATAAAACATCAACAACAAAAAACGGTAGCCATTGAAACACTTGCGATGCTCCGCCAGAGCAGACGCACAGCGGCGGGAGCGAAGAAGGCAGCTCCCCCGCCGCGGCTGGAAGCTCCGGGCGCCCCCGGCGTCCGACGCTGCAGGACTCCTCCTCCTCCTCCTCCTCCTCCTCCTCCTCCTCCTCCTCCTCCTTCTCCTCCTCCTCCTCCTCCTCCTCCTCTCCGCAGCGCGGCTCCCCACAAGGCCTCTGCACGCGCTCTGGAACGAGGATCGGATCGGATCGGCTGCCCACGAAGGAGGGCTCAAGCCCTTGCCAGGTTCCCCATACAGTCATCGGCCTGACCTAACGAACGATAGATAAGGAACGAAGCCCCTTCTTTTTTGCCAAGGAATAACGCATGAGGAACAATAAATAACAAATAACGCATAAGGAACTGTAAATAACGCATGCAAGCCTAAGGAACGACCGAGCCCCTTTTGAAAAGTAGGTGTTCCTTATCCAAGCCGCTCACTGTACGGTCTTTCGACGCGCTGCTTGAGAGTGGGGCGATGCACGCCAGGACGGAAAGCATGGCAGTGCACCGCCTGTGCCCCTTTCGGGTCGCCCCAGGGGGCCCCTTTCGGGCCCCCGCGGTGCACAGAGAGCGCACCCGTTCTCCCCCCCCCCCCCGATATAATTGTTCCAGTCCGCCGCTCCAAAAGTCCCAGCACCTTCCCCTGGGGTGTTCTCTCGTCCTGGATCCCTGTCTGATGGCCCCCAGGCCCAGTCACGAGCTCCGCAGGCTGAAATCGAGGAAAAATTCGCCCAGATGGGCAAAAAAAATAGATCGTCGGCTGGGCCCCCCGTGCGTCGCCCGCCCCCCCCCCCAGTGCGCCGCGCCCGAGGCTTGGACCTCTCCCCCGGGGACTCCGGCTCTTCCTCCTGGGCGGTCTCGTGCCTGCCCCTGGGGCCCGGCAAGAGGAGCGCCCCGGAGGCCGGGAGCCTCCTCCTCCTCCTCCTCCTCCTCCTCCTCCTCCTCGTCCTCCTCCTCCTCTTCCTCTTCCTCCTCCTCCTCCTCCTCCTCACTCCTCCTTCTCACTCCTCCTTCTCACTCCTCCTCCTCCTCCTCCTCCTCCTCCTGTTGCAGTGACCAGCTACGGGCCAGCGTGATCCCAGGCAAGCGCCCTCGAGCCCTCCCGCTCGGAAAAAAAAACCGCTCCGAGTGATTAGCAATCAGAGAGGACCCCCAACCCTTTGGGAAGCGACCTGATGTAGGAGGGCCAAACACGGTAGGAATAAGGAGGTGCGTCGTCTGCAAATGCCTCAAACCATACTGCCAGGAGTTCTACGATCCCCAACGCACAACAAAAAGACCTCGGCGAGGTCACGTCTTCACTAAGCCACTCGGGTGAGGAGCTGTTTGATCCCCTCGATGACGAATCGCTCGGCCCTCCCCATCGAACATCATAACGAAGGATTGCAAAAAAACCTGGGATTGCAAAAAAACCCTGCATTGCAAAAAAACCCTCCGTGAACGAAGGATTGCAAAAAAACCCTGCAATCCTGGGTTCAAGGATTTTTTTGCAATGCACGGGTTTTTTTGCAATCCTGCAATCCTGTTTTTTTTTGCAATCCTGGGTTTTTTTGCAATCCTCCCTCCTCAAACCACGGTGCACACCCATCGAGCCCTCGCCCTCCCCTTCCCTGCAGGAAGGGAAGCATGCGGGCGGGCCAGGCCCCAGCGCGCCGGCCAGTACCGGGGAGACCCCCGTGGACCCGCCCAGCAATCACTCGGGAGAAGGGTCACCCCTACGCGTACGGTGGGACCTAGGACAGAAGAACATCCTTCAATAGGGAGCCCACAAAGGACGTACGCGCCCAGCTATGTACATGAACACGGCCCCTCGATCCGCGAGACCGGCCGCGTTATACGAACATTTGCGCAATGCGTACTCTCGAAACCAGCGTGGATTCATGTACGTGTACGTCCTTTTGTCGCTCCTGATTCAAGAACGCAAGACCCTGCGCTGGCAAAAACACACGGAGCATCCAAGGGCACCCACCCCCAGGATGCGCAAGAGCATCCAACAAACACGAAGAACATCAGGGTACCTTCCCTGCACCGACCTGCCTTCCTGCATATCGCGCTCCTACGCCCGACGAAGCGCCCCACCGCCGCGGCCGCGACGGGGCGCGCCCGAGAGCGTGCGAACGAGCGAACGACGAGCGAAAGCAGGCGGCGGCAGCCAAACCAGCGGCGAAGCCAGCAGCGGGCAGGCGGCAGCCAGCGAAGCGAAGAGAGGACACACACACACACACACACACCGAACCGACCTCGAGCTTATACCTCGGTCCGACCTCTGCCACGCCGCGCGACGGCCAGGCGCAGGCGCGCCCCCGCGCCGAAGAGAGACCCATCGGGCGCGGCGGCGCCGCTGGCGCCGCGGCAGGCGGCGGAGCAGACCCCCGCAGTCACGAGCAGCAGCCGCGGCGGCGCGCTCGGAGCGGCCTTGGAGATGCTCGGAGTGACCTCCCCGAACGAAACCCGGCCGGCACCACACCAACCCCCATCCAGGAGATGCCCCACAGCAGGGCTCGACCCGGACTGTGAGTTGCGCTTGGGTATTGTTGTTGCGTTCCCTCCTTCTGTCTTGGCCCCGCCTCTGTGGCAAGCAAAACAGCATGAAAACGAAAACGGTCCACGAGATCGCCCAACCACCGTTCAGCTCGAGGCCTGCCCCACATGCGGCCCGGCAGGCCTCCAGAGTCTGACTCCGAAGACATTCGCCGCGGTCGGCAGCCAAGCAGGCCATGCCGAGCCGGACAGCGCCAGCGCCGCAAGCAGCAGCCACGACGCGACTGCCAATCCAAGGCAGAACCTGGCCGCTGCGGCGAGGGCGCACCCTTGGCAAGCAACACGAGCGAACCCCAGTCGGCACCACCGACACCTCCAGGGGATGCCCCACAGGCGCCCCAGCGGGTCTCCAAAGTCCGACTCCCCAAAAAAGGCGCCGCGATCGGCAGCCAAGCCTGGCCCTGCCGAGCCGGGCAGCCCTTGTACACCGGCCCGGCCGGCACTCCGAGGCAGAGAGCCTGGCCGCCGCGGCGCCGGCGCACCCCAGGCGGCCGCACAGAGCCTTGACGCTCGGGGCTCGAGGCGGCGGGGGGGGACGCAGGCTGCAGCAGTCGGGGAGGGGGGAGCACCGGGAGTCAGGAGGGCAAGGACCCCTACCCGGAGGCTCTGCTAGACCTGGGCACCGGCGCGCCCAAGAGAGAGAGAGCTGCCGCCCCGGGCCCAAACATTCTCCAGTCTTCGTTCTCTCCGGGTGGCATGTCCAGAGCCCTGGTCTGCAGTGTCCTCGTTTGGGGGGCCCTTCTAGGGAAGCCTCGGCAACCCCTGCCGGTCCTGCGGCGGGGTCCTGTCGCGGAGTCATGCCGTCGCCGCAGAGGTCCAGGACGGGCTCCGCGAGGGCCAGCCCGTCCAGGCCAGCGGTGTTCGGCCTGGCGCCGCGGAGGGAGGCCTCCAGAGGACTCGACAAAAATGTCGAGCCCGAGGTTTTGGCTGCGCGCTCGGCATGCCGGGGCCGTGGTCGGGCCCCGGGGGCGTGTGATCTCGGGCCCCGGGAGGTCTTGGCTGCCGTCCCCCATCTGCTGCTCCGCGCTCACTGGCTGCCCGCCGCTCCCGCTGCCCGCTGCCTGTCGACGCTCTGCTGCTGCTCTTGCTAGGGCTTCGGGCTGCGCACAGACAGCCACCCCCCCCCGGGTAGCCCCCGCGTCCTCAACAGGCCCCCCCGAGCGACCCTGGGCCGGCTCAAGACCTCAAGCCCGGGGCGCGGAGCGCCCCAGGGGCGCCGCAGGGCGCTGAGACCGCCCCAGACTGCTCGGGGGGCCTGTTGAGGCATGCCAGTGCTGCCAGGGGGGGGGGCCGCCTCTACACAGCCCGAGGCCTCACCCGCTGCTCTTCCGCACCGCCCCTGTCTGGAGACGTCCTGGCGCGAGCTGCATCGGGGGCTCGGCCCGGCTCCTGGGGAGCGATCGGCCAGCCCGGGGGGCAGCCGCACGCGGCGCTGCGGAGTGTGCAGGGGCTCCAGGAAGCTCCAGAAAGCCTCAAAAACGCACACAGCCTGTGATGCGCCGTTCTGCGAAACACACACGTGTCCTCTGCCCCGCCCGGATCCCGGGACGCCGCTCTGCGCCGAAAGCGCTCGACATCACCCCCTCGAACCTCGAGCCCTCCCGCCCGGAACAGCAGCGCCCCAGACGCATGTCTCCCCCAGGTATCAGGCCAAACCGCCCAGATCGACGATGTCTAACGCACAGACGGGGCCTCAGCGAGGCGACGCCTTCACTCTGAAATTCGGGCTGAAGGCTTTCATCCTGCATGACCAGTCGCTCGGCCCTCCCCATCGAACCGCAACCCCCCCCTCCTCGAACCACGATGCGACCCCACAAGGCTCGGCCCTCGCCCTGCCCCCCCCCCCCCCCCAGCGTCGGCTGCACGCAGCAGCGACCCCAGGCAGGCGCGGCCCTGGGCATCGCTCGGACGCCCCTTCCCTGTTTTTTTTTCGGTCTCGTGCGTGGTTTTTCGCCAAATGATCAGGGATGCTCCTCGATGGTCCTCGCCGAAGGAGACATGCACACGTCCGAGCGATGCCGAGGGCCTGTGGCGCGCGGCTTCGGGGAGCCGCGGGGGAGCCCGAGCCAACGCCGTCCAGGCGCGCCGGCCAGGGTGCGGCGGGACCCCTGTGGGCCCGCACGGCCACCCGGGCAGAGGAGCACGGATCACTCTGACGCGTAGCTTCTGCCCCCCCAAACCGCCGACGTCATGTGTCTGTGCGTGACGGCGGCCCCAAAGTCTCGACCGACTCCCGAGAACAGGCTTTTCTTGCTGAGCCGTTGTTTGCCTGACCCGAGGCCTGGTGAGGGCCCCCAAAGACCGAAAATGCATCTCTCTCTCACACACACACACACCGTCCGTCGTGATTTTCCATGACCACTCCCCAGAACCGGCTTGTCATCCTGAACCGTCGACACCCAGAAGTCTCGACCCACTCCCCAGAACCGGCTTGTCATCCTGAGCCGTTTTGTTGACGGCCCCGAGGCCTGGTCAATGACCCCCAGACACAGAAAATGCCACAATAAACCTCCCGTCGTGATTTCACATGGCGTCGACCACCAGAGGTCTCGACCCACTCCCAGCAACTTGCCTTTCATCCTGAGCCGGTTGTTGACGGCCCCGGGTCCCCGGTAAGGACCCCCAGCCACACCGAAGGCATAGAAAGACCTCCGTGATCTCTTCGTCCTGGGTCCCTTTCCTGCCGGCCCCGGGGCACAGCGGGGGCCCCCATGGAGGCCAGCACACAGCCAGACACCTCCCGCCGCGAGCTGTTTCATGACCCGAGGGGGTGTCTCGGCCCGCTGGCCGCCGGCAGGACGCCCGAATCATCTGGGAGAACTGCGGTCGGGGCCCCCGAGGCGCGAACCTGCGCAGTCCTTAGGGGCCTGGAACATATCCCTATCCCTAAGCCGGGCATCGCCTCATCACAGTGCCAATCTTAGGGATTCCCTTATGTTTTGAGGGCGCATCCCTAAGATTGTCATCGCCTTTTGGCGTGTCAATCTTAGGGATAGGGATAAGTTAGAGGCTGGTAAAGTCCAGCCTGACCGCCCCCCAGCCCTGACGTTCTGTCAGGCCTGTCCCCCTACAGGGGGCTTTGACCGAAAGGTAGAAAAAACTAAAATGCTCAAGAGATGCCCGAAAATGCGAAACAAATCGTCCCCGTGACTATTTTTGAAGAGCTTCCTCCTGTAGAGGGCCAGGCCCGACTCGACCCTGACGACTCGGGAGGCTTGGGCGCCCGAGCCGCCCGACACCACCGCTGCCCGAGGCAGCTCCGGCCTGGGCACCCCGGGGCGCGAGGCCTGCCGCTGCCCCCGGCCGCCCCGGGCCCCGGAGGACGCGGGGCTCTGCGCCTGCTGCTCTCGTCCATCGTGGTCTCGGAGAGCACCAGGGAGCCGGCGCTGCTGGCCGAGTCGGAGCGCGCGAGGCGCGGCGGGTCGCCCTGGAGGCGGGCGCCCCCGCTCGGGCGGCATGGGCGGAGAGAGGGCGGCAGGCCTTCCGCCACCCCTCCGTCTGGGGGGGTTACCGCTCCTCCTCCTGCTCCGGCTCCTCCTCCTCCTCCTCCTCCTCCTCCTCCTCCTCCTCCTCCTCCTCCTCCTCCTCCTCCCCCTGCAACCGCGACCCCGGCACCCATCCCTTTTTTTAGGATGGATGGCCGCCGGGGTCAGGCGTGTGAGGGCGCCGTCCAACCTGGAAGCAAACTGTACACCCCCACGGTCTGCGGGCAACGGCCACTGACCCAGGCCGGGGGGGGGGAATGGAAGCGCGCCCGTACGTGCGGCCCAGACCGGGGGAAGGAATGGGGCGGGAACGGGGGACGGGGGGCGGAGGGCGGACGGAGGGCGGAGGTCGAGCCGTCGTGGCGTAGGTGTGGCTGCCGTTGTCTCCGCCGCCTCCTCCTCCTCTTCCTGTCAAGCAGGCCGCCTCCTCCTCCTCTTCCTCCTCCTCCTCCTTCTCCTCCTCCTCCGCCTCCTCCTCCTCCTGTCTCCGGGCGCCTCGGCGCCTTCTGCTGAAGGTGGGCCCTCGTCGTCGTCGTTTTCCTCCTCCTCCTCAAGCTGGCTCCCGGGTGCCTCGGCCCTGTCCCTGCTGCCTCGGCTGGTGGCGCTGGTGCGGCTGCCGCCGCCGCCGCCGCCTCCTCCTCCTCCTCCTCCTCTTCCTCCTACTCCTCCTCGTCTTCTTCCTCACCTCCTCCTCGCCAGCGGCTTCCTCACCCTGCCTTTGCGCCCTCAGCCTCCTCTGCCTCCTCCTCCTCCTCCTCCTCCTCCTCCTCCTCCTCCTCCTCCCTCCTCCTCCTCCTCTTCCTCCTCCTCCTGCTCCTCCTCCTCCACCTCCTCCTCCTCCTCCTTCTCCACCTCCTCCTCCTCCTCCTGCTCCTGCTCCTGCTCCTCCTCCTCCTCCGACTCCTATATTCCAGGAGATGTTCGAGAATGGCTTGGGAATTCTTAGTCGTCCTCCTCCTCCTCCTCGCCCTCCTCCTCCTCCTCCTGCTCCTCCTCCGCCTCCTGGATTCCAGGAGTTGTTCGAGAATGGTTTGGGAATTCTGAGGGGTGGCTGGCTCGTTACCACGACATCCCGCAGAGTGAGCTCCAGGCCCACGTGGACCGAGGGCTGGGGCCACGTGTGTATCAGATTCCTCTGCAGGCCCTCTGGGATCGAGAGGCCAGGAGGCGCTTCAATACCCTTCTTCCTGGATGTCAGCGCTCAGCCTTGGACGCAGGGCTGTGGAGCTTCGGAACAGTTCGGTCGGTGCCCGAGGCCTTCGTGTTCGCAGCGAATGGGCCGATGCGCTCGAGGACATGATCTCGTCGCTGACTGCAGAGTTGTCGGAAGGCCAGCTCCTCGACAGGCACGGAGGAGGCTGGGCATCCTGCCGAGCCCGCCGTTCGTCTTTTGGTGTCGCGGCTCCGTGTCGGTACATCTGACGAGGCCGATCCCATTTGGCAGCTGTGGTCCGGGTACACGCCGGTCGGAAGAAGTAGGCAGAAACATGAAGTAGGCAGGCGGAACAAGTAGATTGGGTTCGGGCCCGCCCAGAGAATAGCAAACAACAGCCAAACCACATCGGCTCTTGAAGCAGGAAGGCGCTTGAAGTAGATTGGGTTCTGGGAATCCAGAAGTACCCGCTTTCAACGACCGACGGGTACTGCACGCTCCTGCAGCAGGCCGACGCCCCGAGAGCGAGGCCGGCGGTGGAGGCCTTGGGCGGAGCAAGCAGTCGAGACAAGGGGGGGGGGAGGCTGCACGTGCGCTCGGCAAGGGGGGGGCCACGGAGCCCTCCCACCTCGAGGATCAGCCTGGCGTTAAGTCGGTCCTGTCCCCCTACAGGGGGATTTTCGACGACAAATAAGAAATACCCCAAAAAATGCGCCAAGATGGTCAAAACAAACTAACAAATCGTACCCAGACAATTTTTGGACTACTCTTGGATATCCCCCCTGTAGAGGGACAGACCCGACTGAAGCCTGGCGGGCTGCGAATGGGAGACCAGCGGCTTCCTGCGTGAGCTCCCAAGGGCCGCGATGCTCCTCGTCCCAGCGCCTGGGACATCGGTGACAGCACCCTTTCTCCCCATCAGCCTCGAGGCCCTCCGGGAGGTTTGTAGGTCCTCCCCTGAAGGGCCTGGGCTTGGCTGGGATATGTTCTTCCGCCCGAAGTGGGCCCTCCGGTTGCCGACTGCGTACCAGGTCAGGGTCCTCAGCATTCTCCAGGTGCTCGAGAACAATCAAGATTGGCTCCAGGACTCTGTGACTAGCATCGTGCTCATCCCGAAGCTCGAAGGAGGGTTCGCCCGATTGGTTTCCTGTGTCGGTTTCCGAACGGGCAGAGCTTCGACGGCCGATGTGCCGCGATCGGGAGCGGGCCTGCCGGATGCAAGTCTTTGGGGGCAGCGGGCCTACGACGACGTGCGAGCGGGCTGACTGGCCCCACAGTTTGACGGCGGCGTTCTGCCCCACGATGGGCTCGGACAGTGCCACTGTGATCCTGGACTTGATGAAGTGACATGGGCACGGTTATCATTCAGACTTGTCTGCTGCGGCTCCCCAGTATGGCTTGAGTATGAAACTCCTCAGGGGCCTGGTCACGACGTATTATGGTGTTCGGGCTATGCTGCTCGACGGCGCCATATCGGAATTTCTCCAGGCCTCGGGGGCTGTTACCGCGGGGTGTTCGGTGGCCACGGCTCTGGCAAAACTGTTCCTACTGGGCCCGCTCACGGAAGCAACTCAAGGCAGGCCGCAGCTCAGGGTCCGCAACGTGATGGATGACATCTCGTTGCAATGTTTCGGCCCGCAGAGGCTAGTGCTCGGGCAACTTCCAGCAGCGGTCGTGACGCTGAGTGACCAGCTTCGCGGACCTCCAGCTGCCCGTCAATCTGGCTAAGTGTAAGGTTGTGGCGAGCAGCCCCACTTGGCTGCGGAGTTGATCAAGAAGTGGCCCCTTCCTCCACAGAACTGCGTCCTCCGTGCGCGCCACCTTGGAGTCGGCGCGACTCTGGGAGGCCTCCGAAGAATGGGGACCACGCCTTGCCGCTGGAACAATGCATCCAGGACCTCGGGGAGAGTGGCACGCCTCAGAGAGGCGGGGGCGGTCGCGACCTGGGTCCACAGAGGGGGCCCGACGGCCTCGGCCCTGTGGGGCGTCGCGGTCAGCCTCGGGTCCGTCCGCGTCGCTGTCTTGGCCGATTTCCGCGGGGAGCTGCGGCGGGGCCCAGGCTCCAAGCCTACGAGAAAGGGCTCAGAGAGGACCCCTGGGTCGTCTCGGCGGGCCTCGCGGTGCACCAGTGGAGCTCCGCGTTGGGAAGGGAATCCCAAGCGACAGATAGTCGAGAGGGAACTTTGGAGGCGGCGACCAGTGGGTGCGGTGAGATGTCGAGCCCATGGGCCTCAGCGGCGTCGCCTGCGGGCGTGCATCTGCTGACCGTGAAAAGCATATGCTGGCATGTGCCCTCGGCCAGCAAGCTTGTCTCGGCAGCATGTGCCCTCGGCCGATAGGAGGGCCCTGGCTGCCAACTCCAGTCCATGGGACCTCTTTTTTGGCACGGCGTTTCGGCCCTTCTCCGTGGAACTCGGGCCGACTGGTCGGCCCACTAAAAGCGGGCCTTGAGGGCCCTGATCTCTGGAGTATGGTGGTCACAAGTTCGACTTGTGAAGAAGGGGCTGGCCCCCAGCCCCTCCTGCGTTCTCTGCGGGGACCCCGACGGGCACCTATGGCACAGATTCTATCGATGCCACGGCCACGCCGTGCGGCGCCGTGATAGGGTCCCTGTCGAGCTGCGGCGACGGGCCCAGAGGGCCCGCAGCCGGAGTCTCGAGGCCGGTGAGCTTTTTGCGAGGGGGATCTGCCCCGGTGCCCTGGCCCCCTCCCGAGGGCCTCCAAGCCCGACCAGCCATACTTGGGGGAGCCGTGGTCCTTACCCCCCCTGGGGGGAACCCGTCGCATCGACGACCTCTCGAGAGGGGTGTCGAAATCGAGGGGTCCCCCAGGGGGGGTCAGGGCCACAGCTCCCCCAAATTGTGGCTGGCCTGCAAGCAAGAGCCGATCCACTGGCTCCAGCGGCCCCGAGTCGGGCAGGCCGACGGGTCTCCTGTTGTCGGACGGGGCGGCCCTCTCTCCCGGGTGCCCTCGGCTTGACCCGAGCCGGGCGGGCGGCGGCGATGTGCGGCCGCTTCGGGGACGTGCTGGCCGCCGCCCAGGGGCCCGCTCCCGTCCGCCAGGCCCCCTGTCGCAGAGCCCGAACGGATGCCGAGGATTTCGCCGCGTCGATACTCTGGCAGGCTGCGGTGCCCCCGTTCGAGCTGCTCATTGCCTGTGAGGGCACGCCCTTGACTCTCTGAACGCGGCGGGCCCGTGTGTGGGCCGATGTCCTGCCCTCGGATTCCGGTGCTCACAAAACGCGGGCCCGCTGCAGTATGCAAGACGTGATTGGCGAGCGCACGGCTCCCTGGGAGAAGAAAGGCAACGACGCCGCCGGCGAAGCAGGGAGCCACCTTCCACGGAGTCCGCGAGGCTGAACTCTTTCTGTGGAAGGGTGTCCAATCCATGGCCAGTGAGGCGGCAAGATGGTCGGGGGCGTTGCACGCGTGTGTCGGGGACAGGGTCAAAGGTCGTGACCATGCCGACATCATGGAAGCATGTGGAGCAGCGCGTGACGATCAGGAGGAGGATCCTCCACCTGACCCCTCGGTACCTGTTGCAGCGGCCTCGTCCAGTGGGGCCGCGGGCAACAGCGCCGAGGAATCCTCTTTGTTCCAGGCCGAGCTGCAGGACCCAGCGGATGGCTGGGAGGCTTCCAATCCGATCGGCTACAATTTTAATGGGCCCCCCCTCCTGTATGCGAAGGCCGTGGTGCGGAGTGGGCACGACGCTAACTGTGCGGTGTGTTTCTGATATGCCTGTGGGGCGTTCTTTTCTGGGGCGGTCCCGACCCGAGCCCTGCTGCCG